CTTGCTAGCGGAGTAATTCGATTTGCTTGAGGTAAGTATCTTATTTAAACTCGGTTGAGGCACTAGTTGCATGAATTGTTGTGATAGCCACGTGCTTTTGGGTGCACATGCATGAGGATGAGCCCATGTGCGGGCACCAGGGTCATATATTCATGTTTGGGTTGTGCTCGGGCTCTTATAAGCCTAGAATTGACTGTTAAGCTTTAATCTATGGTATCTCACATGTTGTAGCAGATTATGTGATTTATTTGAGACATGCTGAGGCTATATAGAGGTTTAATCCCTGAAAGAACTTGATAAATACTTTTCAGTGATGAAATTTCTGATTTGAGCTATGATAGCACATTTTGCACATGCCTACACTTTAGCATGTCATTTATACCAGTCCAGAAGCATGTGAATCTTATTTCATTCATCATACACATGTATACTTGCTTAATTGCTTTTGTATGATATATTTGGACCAGAGGCGTGTGACTATGTCGGGCGAATTATGTTATTGGCATGTGAGTTATCCGTACAACACGTGAGTTATCCGTGCAGATTCGTATGTTGATATTATTGGCACATGAATTGTCCGTGCAATATGTGAGTTGTCCGTACAACACGTGAGTTGTCTGTGTGGATCAATATATTGATATTATTGGCAAGTGAGCTGTCCGTATCGCACGTGAGTTGCCCGTGCAGGTTTTATTGTTAGCACGTGAGTTATCCGTGCAGCGTGTGGAATTTTCATTTTTCTTGATCATTTATCTGATTTAATTATTTCCTTCCTCTACATGCCATGATATTGTCTGAGCAGGGTATTTGAGAAATTATGTACATGAACACACAGATATTCTTCTCGCAAAACTTGATGAGTTAGTTTTAAATATTATTCTGTGCTGGTTTAAAAGGGGTAGAACTACACCGGAATAGCTAGTATCCTCAATAGTTTAAGCTTCTCTTACCTTGCCTTGTTTATTTATGATACTTATTGAGTTGGTTGTACTCACACTACACTCTACGCCTCGTGTGCAGATTCAGGTATTTTCGGGCACGGTGGTTGCTAATCTTGGAGTTTTTACCCGTTCAGAGATTATCGAGGTAGCTACTTTGGCGTCCGCAGACCTTGACTCTCCCCCTTTATCTCTCAGTTTTACTTATACTGTTCTACCCTCTTAGATAGAGTTTTAGACTATGTTATTGTATAGATGCTCATGTACTCAATGACATCCGAATTTTGGGAAAGTCTGTATTCGAGTCGCAGTTGTTCATATCGGCCATTTATGAGAGTTATTGCTGTTAAACTTGCTTCATCTTATATTAATATAAAAATGTCTAGTTTTATTATAATTGTCTGTTTGCCTAGTTCTGTGATAGGCGCTATCACGACATGTTGAGTTTCGGGTCATGAAAAGTTGGTATCAGAGCCTAGGTTACATAGGTCTCATGAGTCATGAGCAGGTTTAGCAGAGTCTTGTGATCGGTACGGAGACGTCTGTATTTATCTTCGAGAGGATGTCGAACCCTTAGGAAAACTTCACTTTCTTGTATTCTTGTTGTGCAAATATGTTGATTCCGGGAACTAAACTTTTGTTATACTATTCTTCCACAGATGGTGAGGACACGTGCTACTAGATCAGGCAGACGGCCACCAGTACCACCAGCTAAGCCCACGAGGTGCCGGGGCCGCGGTAGAGGCCGAGGTACAGCTCGTACAGTAGCTAGAGTAGCACCTATAGACCCACCAGTTGCTCTAGCTCAGGAGCAGAGTCCAGATATGGTTGAGCCGGTGGGACCAGCTTAGACACCAGTTGTACCCATTGTGATTCCAGGCCTTCAGGAGGCTCTGGCACAGATATTGACTATTTTTGTTTAGGTGGTTTCAGTTACGGACGCAACAGCCACTTCTCAGGCTGGGAGAGGTGCTCAGACTCCCGCCGCCGTACTCCAGAGCAGGTTATGCAGGGACTTCAAACACCGAGGGTACTACCAGCCCAGCCGGTTACAATTGCTCAGGCCCAGGTGGGTCCCATTATGAGTGATGAGGAGCAAAAAAGACTAGAGTGGTTTGGGAGGCTCAAGCCTCCATCTTTCAGTGGGGCTAAGTCAGAGGATGCTTAGGACTTATTGGATAGGTGCCAATGGATTCTTCGCACGGAGGGTATTCTGGAGACTAGTAGGGTCTCATTTACTACTTTTCAACTGAGGGGGAAGCCTTCAGATGGTTGGATACCTATGAGCGGGGCAGACCAACCGGTGTTGTACCACTTTTATGGCATGAGTTCTCCGTTTTCTTCTTGGAGTAGTTTGTGCCACCAACCCGTAGGGAGGAGTTGGGTAGGTAGTTTGAGCAACTATGCTAGGAGGGTATGTCTGTGGCCCAGTACGAGATGAGATTTTCAGAGTTGGTTCGTCATGCAATCTGGTTGATTTCCACAGAGAGGGAGAGGATTAGGAGGTTCATTGATGGCCTCAGCTATCAGTTGCATTTTGTTATAACTCGGGAGAATGGATTAGGTGCTAGGTTCGACGAGGTAGTTGATATTGCTCGGCAGCTAGAGTTGGTCCGTAGTTGAGAGCGTGAGGAGAGGGAAGCCAAGAGGCCTCATGGTTCGGGTTGTTCCTTCGGTGTTTCTTCTGGGGGTCAGTCCCACCATAGCAGGGGTCGTCCTTATAGGCCCGCTTAAACGGCTTGTCTTGTTCAGTGGTGCATTAGTTAGCCACGGTTATTACATTGCTTATTAGGGTTAGTCATCATTCAATGCATTACCAGTGGAGAGTTCTTACCATGCCTCGTCTTCTCAGGTTTTTACAGGCAGTTCCTCGAGTTATCAGGAGCAGCAGCTCCGTCAGAGGAGAGGTTGTTTCGAGTGCGGGGACTTGAGTCATGTCAAGAGTGATTGCCCTATACTATTGAGTAGGGTCCATAGCAGAGTTCTCGGCCGATGATACCAGCACCAACAGCTACACCACCCATTCATCCAGCTCGCGGTGGGCCTCAGGCAGCTAGAGGCCACCCTAGAGGCCGATCAGGCTCGATTCTATACTATTCCTGCCAGGCCAGAGGCTGTTGCTTCAGATGTAGTGATCACATGTATTGTTTGAGTGTGCCACATGGATACTTTCACATTATATGACCCTAGTTCTACTTATTCCTATGTATCATCCTATTTTACTCATTATTTGGATATGTCCCATGAGTCCTTAGTTTCACTTGTGCATGTATCTATGCCGATGGGCGATAATATTATTGTGGACCGTGTGTAGTGACCATTAGAGGATTGGAGACTAGAGGTGATCTCTTATTTCTTAGTATGGTTGATTTTGATGTGATTTTGGGTATGGATTGGTTGTCTCCATGTCATGCTATTCTGGACTGTCACGCTAAGACCGTGACGTTGACAATGTCGGGGTTGCCAAGGATCAAGTGGAGAGGTTTGCTAGATTATGTTCCCATCAGGGTGATTTCATATTTGAAAGCCCAACAGATGGTTGGGAGGTGGTGTCTGTCATATTTGGCTTTTGTGAGGGATGTTGGTGCTGATACTCCTACTATTGATTCTATTCCGTTAGTACAAGACTTTCTGAATGTGTTTCCTGCAGACCTGCCAGGCATGCCACCCGACAAAGATATTGATTTTGATATTGACTTGGTGCCGGGCACTCAGCCCATTTCCATTCCTCCGTATCGTATGGCACCAGCTAAGTTGAAGGAATTAAAAGAGCAGCTCTAGGAGCTTTTTGATAAGAGTTTATTATGCCTAGTATGTCGCCTTGGGATGCGCTGGTTCTGTTTGTGAGGAAGAAGGATGGTACTATGCAGATGTGTATTGACTATATGCAGTTGAACAAAGTTACAATCATGAACAAGTATCATTTGTCGCGTATTGATGATCTATTTGACCAGCTTCAGGGAGTGATGGTGTTCTCTAAGATCAATTTGAGGTCTAGGTATCACTAGTTGAAGATTCAGGACTCGGATATTCTGAAGACAACATTCAGGACCCGTAACATTCCAACAACATTCTCTATGATCATGCTCTGATGAACAGTGTATTTCAACCATACCTTGATTCGTTTGTCATAGTATTCATTGATGATCGCGTAGCTAGGAGGCGCATGCCCAGCATTTGAGGATTGTGCTACAGAGGTTGAGGGAGAAGAAGCTTTATACCAAGTTCTCCAAGTGTGAGTTTTGGCTTAGTTTGGTGGCATTCTTGGGGCAAGTGGTGTCCTGTGAGGGGATTAAGGTGGATCCAAAGAAGATAAAGGCGGTCCAGAGTTGGCTAGACCGTCTTCAACTACTGAGATTCAGAGATTTTTCGGCTTGGCTGGATATTATTGTGTCTTTGTGGAGGATTTCTTGTCCATTGCAGTGCCTTTGACCAACTTGATCCAGAAGGGTGCGCCACTCAGGTGGTCGGATGAGTGTGAGGAGAGATTTCAGAAGCTCAAGACTACCTTGACCACAACTCTAGTTCTAGTTTTGCCTTCAGCATCGGGTTCTTATACATTATATTGTGATGCTTTTCGAATTGGTATTGGGTGTGTCTTGATGCAGGAGGGTAGAATGATTGTTTATGCTTCGCGCCAGTTGAAGCCCCATGATAAAAACAACCCTGTTCATGATTTGGAGGCATTATCTCTATGGTGTGTCTTCTAAGGTTTTATATAATAGACTAAGTTAAAATTGATCTTCCATTTTATATAGGTTAATTTTGAAGAAAAATATACCTATCATGCTACTAAAAAACTTAGATACGCCGAATAACTTATGTAATAGCATACCAATGGTATATAGAATTTTTGACAATAACGTCATGCAAAAACTATAATATTGGTTAATGTGCTTCTAAGCTGTCACGACTCAAAATCCAATATAGATCGTGATGGAGCATAATACCGCCGTCAGGCAAACCAATGGATCAACTTAATTACTCATTTTAGTATTTTGGAATCATAATTTTCATTAACCAAATATCGTGAAATAGAATTTACAGGGTAGAGTGATAATAATTATGTGAACTACCATGCTAAAAATCTAGTAGGAACCCCCAGAACTCGATGTCACAAGTGCATGTGCATCTATTAATGGGTACAACAATATTACAACATCCGTCTGAAATACAAGTTAGACGGGGAATATAAATAACTCTGATGGAGACTCTGTATGTTGCAGATCGTAACAAGGAAGTGCAGCTCACCGTAAAGTCCCCGCAACAACCGCGCCTCTGCACCCAGAGGACCACCAGAAACATATATGTATACCTGCATAATAAGTGCAGCAAGTCCAGCATGAGTACGTAAATAAACGCGTACCCAGTAAGTATCTAGCCTAACCCTAGAGAAGTAGTGACAAAGGGTCGATATCGACACTTACTAGTGGTCCAATAAGACAGATACAGTAAGAAGTAAACAGATATGAGGCAGATAAATACGTGGTACAATCCTCCTCTCGACCGCAAACTAAAACTCTCGATTAGTAGTTACCTCCTCGACCGGAGTATATATATATTATGTAATGGACCTCACCAGATAGATTGTCAGGATTCAAATCAGGAAAATTCCCAGATACACTGGCTTTTTGACAAATATAACGCACGATTCCATAGGAGTATTTTATAGAAATGCCGAGGTGTACGACCCGATCCCATCATAATCTGGTACATAACCATAGATACATCTATTATATTGCTGAGGCGAACGGCCCACTCCCATGAGAGTGTGATACATAATCTTGCCGATACGTACCACCCGATCCCATCAATTGTGTGCACTTCCGAGGGTCGAACAACACAAACTATAGATGTACCTATTATACTGCCAAGACAAACGACCCGATCCCATTAGAATAAGAAGCTTTAACGGGTCCTTGACCCCACTCACGAATAAACATGTGAGTTATATATTTTAAGGGGAACTTTCCGATGAAAATGCATAACGTGGAAGAAATTCGTAAGCAGAGAATTATTCCGTAGCTAATCATGAAGCCCAGCATATCTTTACCATAGCAAGTCTACCTACGCAAGTCTAGTCTCAAGTCATAATGTGAAATAAAGGAATTAAACGAGCAAAGATAACCCCTATAGTACAATTATAACATGGTGTGAACTTAAGGCTACCCGGACCATAACATGAATCTAGCTACGTACAGACTCTCGTCACCTAGTGCGTACGTAGCTCCGGCAACAAGTAGCACATATCAAATACATCACCTAGGGGATGGTTTCCCCCTCACTGAGTTAGAAAAGAGACTTACCTTGCTCCGAAGTTCCATAACCGGCTCCAAAGCCTCTGTAACACCTCAAACCGATGCCTGTCGCTTCAAAACTAGTCAAACAATGTGCAAACTAATAAAAATATACTTTAATACCCATAATTAATCAATTTATAACAATTCTCAACTCCACTCGAAAAGTCAATAAAGTTAACCCTGGAGCCCGCGTGCCCGGATTTCAAAAATTATCGAAAATAATTATAACCCATATTTTATATAGTATATATTTTGAAAATTATCCAATTTCATCCATGAGTTGACCCTCAAATCAAGAATTTACCATCTCATAACTTTGGGGCTCAAAACCCCAATTTTTACAATCCAAACACGGATAAAATTAATAACCAATGAAAATAATCATGAAAAAATATCAAAATAAAGGTCAGATATTTACCCCCTTGTTGAGACGAGAACAACTCCGTAAAAATCACCTCAAATGGAGCTATAGAACTCAAGATATGCTCAAAATACTAAAATACTCGGTTTGTCCATTTTAAACACTGTCAAGGCGATTTTTGTTCTTCGCGTTCATGAAGAGCAATTTTTTGTGTTGACTGATCAACCAAAATTTCCTTCTTCGCGTTTGCGGGACCTCCCTCGCATTCGCGAAGAACAAAGTCCGCACTAGAAACCAGCAATCTTTCCCGACGTGAAAATGGCATAACTCTCATATACGACCTCGAAATTCAAAGATTCTTATTGCTATAGTTACGTAATTACGATATGGATCTAATGGTTCAATACAATCACAAATAAAAGGTTGTTTTCTCAATATGGTACCTTTTATGTCCAAAGAAACGACGTTAAAACATCAAATAAGAGCGTGATACAACCCAAACACATCCGAAACACACCTACGGCCCTCGGGACCCTGTCCAATTACACAAACCAGTCCCAAAACATAAGACGAACGTACTCGAGACCTCAAATCACACCAAATAATATCAAAATCATGAATCGGCGATCAAATCCTTCTTTTAACTTTCAACCATTCAAACTTCGACGAACGCGTCCGAATCACACTTAAAAATTACGGAATAACGCCAAACTTTACGCACAAGTGTTAAATTACAATACGAACCTATTCCAATGCTCGGAATCCAAACCGACATCGTTAACACCAAAGTCCACTTCAAATCAAACTTAGGAATTTCTAAAACCTTCAAAATGTTAACTTTCTACAATAGACGCCGAAATGCTTCCGGGCCATCCGATGCTCAACACGAACACACGCCCAAGTCCGAAATCATCATACAAACCTATTGGAAGCTTCAAATCCCTATTTCGAGGTCGTTTACTCAAAAGTCAAACCTTAATCAATTCTTCCAACTTAAAGCTTCCAAAATTAGAATTTTCTTTCCAAATCAATTCCTAACTTCCCGAAAATTCAATTCCGACCACACGTACAAGTCATAATATCTAAAGTGAAGCTACTCAATGCCTCAAACCGCTGAACGACGCGCCAAAGCTCAAAACGACCAGTCGGGTCGTTACATATGTATATTCTTATCCCTGAATTTAACTTTCGTCTTCCGAAACTAAGGAATATCTTTTTAAATTTGTGTGAAAATAATTTTTATTATGTTTATGTTTTGCAAATATAATAAATAAAGCATAAGGACAAACATCCTAAAAATTGGACTATATTTACCGCAATATGTTTTCTTGCACGAACAACTGTATGTTGAACTTTCAAGAGGGATATCAAGGTCGACAACAAGAGTTCTGGTTAAGGAAGAGCAACCAACAGATTAAGAGGAAACATACACAAAATAATATTGTCTACAAAGAAGTGTTCATTAAAATACCATCACATTAAAATATTTTTAAACTATAATATATAATTATCTAATTAACATGAAAAAATTGATCATTCGTGTAAGTTTTGATGATGTCCTTTTATTTTAAATTCATGCATTATGCTAATGTAATAATATTTTTCGGTATTTAGATAATTGTTGTATTATTATACATAAAATTTCTCTCATTAATTAAATTTTATTGTTCCTTCATATAAATAAATGTTTAAATCATCACGTGCCATTATTAACGTGCAATGCACGTTCATAAATACTAGTGTGTGTATATATTTCTAATAAAGATATATATAAAAATACTGGCCCCATATATAAAGATACTGGGTCAAGTGAACCTGTAACTTACAAACTAGATCCGCCAATATTTCTATTAACTGTTGAAACGCCAACTTCCGAAATGGTTTGGCAGCCCCTCCAAAATGATATATAGCTGAAACGGATAACAAAACGCACAAAATTTCTTGAAAATCTGGTGTAGTATCTATGCACAAGACAGGACACCTTCAGTATCAAACTGTTGTCCATTAGCTGCAGATCATACGGTTATTCTACTAGTACTAGTAAAAGGAATTAAAACAAAAAAGAGATAATGGTAAAAAGAATTAGATATCCCTCCAAAAAAGCAAAAAAGAGAGAAAAAAGAAACAACGTTCAAAAGCAAAAACAGTTGCAGAAGTGTTATACTCTACTCTTTCCATGCTGGACAAAATAAGATTCATCTGCGTTGGCTAAACGATCTTGGAACATAGCCCACTCATTTGTACACCTTTCTCTTACCTACAATACAGATATTCATCCATTTTAACCTCCAGTACAACAACAATAAGTATGTCTCAGTCCCAAACAAGTTGGGGTCGGCATTAATCAAGTTAAAGAACCTACAGAAGTTATCAATAAAATTTTCAGGTGACAAAAGATATGCTTACCCCTTCCCAAGGAGCTTTACCATTCTCAGACTCACCCTGTAATCCAAAAGGAAAAAAAATACAAAAGAAGCAGGAACGTGCCAAAGAATGATTAAAAGACCAACTTAAGTAGGATAAGTAACTCAGGTAATCTGTGAATTCTACAACAAAAGAGACTTATAGCGGCCATGAATATACCCTATAATTTAGCTGCAATAAAACTTGCTACGAAAATCTTTACCGGCATTGAGTTATTTGCCATTGTATCGGGCGTCAGTAAAGGTTTTACCAGCAATTATAAGTGGTGCTTGTAAATATCCCAATTATCGCCAATAAACGACGTGAAACAGTGGCTTCCCCCCTCATGAGCTAGTTTTGTATCCCATATAACACAAATTTAGTCCTAGGAAATACTTGCTTCCCCCTCCTTTGACACCCAAAAGCTCAAAAAGAAACAGTAATAACAACATTTAAGAAAGAAACTAGGTGAGAACAGTTTCATGCACTAGGATATATAGTCACATATGAAGAAGCACGAATAACTCTCTAAATGTTCATATAATCATATCCGAAGAAGCACTAGTTTCTCCCTGCTACCTAATAATTTCTCTTCCTCACATAAAGGAGATCTTCATACCCCAGTGTGACGAAACGGAAGAAATAATTAGCTCCTTGTCTAAAGATAGGTGTATCCAAGGTATGAATTTGATGGATTTAGTTTGCAAAGGTTTTGGCACTGAATTCACTATACTTTTGATATTATAGGTTTAGTTTTTATATTTGTTAAAATTTTAGTGATTTTTCACATATATATTTAAACTCTTTGGTGAAAGTACTGGGTCCGATTGAACCTGCAACACAAAGGTTGCATCCGCCATTGTCTCTGAGCTAGCCTCTTTAGATGATGCTTCAAGCGATCAGTCACGGCTTTTACAAATTATCACATACATAACAAGAAAAAATCATAGGAGTAGATTCTTTTACAGATGCTTCAGATTGAAAGGAGTGAAGATAAATGAAAGGAGAGGAATTTAAGAGATAAGGCTTTTTTTTTTTATTTTAATAGTGACCAGTTTTTAGGGAGTCAAGGATTAGGATGAAAGAACACATGCTTTTTCCGTCCAAAAGTGAGTGGAATCAGAGGGTAGGAGACTCCATTTGATGAAACTTTTTGTAACCATAAACAGGCCTGGGGATTGTGAACAAATAATTCATATTGAGCAATTCAGAGGCGGAGCCAAGATTTGAAGTTTATGGGCTCAGTATTCTAATCTTTTAAGTTACTGGGTTCTAAATTAATAATTTGTACATATTCAATGATTTTTTTAATGTAAACACATAGTTTGGACCAAAGCTATTGGCCGAACCCATAGCTTCTACTCTCCCTCCGCCCCTATTAAGCATACTCATTTCTTTGTTTTTATTCCTAATGATTCCAAACAATAATAATATTCCCTGTTTTCCCTTTCCTTCCGTTCCTCTTCTCTCCTTTTTTGTTGCTTTCGCATGGTCTTCGTTTCCTTTTTCTCGATCAGAAACATCCATTAAGCTTTGGTGGTATTACACAGACTTGCCATAACACTAGTCCACATGAGCTCAACTGCTATAATCACTAACAAAAAGCTTGATCTTTATTATCTCAAGCACTTGGAAATTTCCAGGTGATTGAGTTCAACTTTTACATATTCAAGGATTGGATGGCTGACTGAAGAATTCACAATGACAATAGGAACTTGGTTGGGAAAATAGCTAATGGGTCGTTGTTCATGGATTTGAGTTCTCATAAGATGGGAATCAAGAACTTCCTAATCGGGGATTTCCGCATATATTAAAAAAGTTATTACTTATATCAATAAAATGTAGCTTTGTGGAAATGAACATTGACTGACCTGATTCCCTAGAGAAGGAACAAATTGATGCACAATCCACTGTGAATCAACAACACCAATTTTTACATGAGCAGGCTGCACAAACCATGTTAAAAACAAATTAACATTTCGCCAAAGTGTCCATCATATCTCAAATAAGTCTAAGCTGAGAAGATAATTCTCAGTTGTATCTAATTTTTCAGTGCAGCTCTCCTTTTACCACTATTCTATTACAATTCAAGAATGTATCTGGAGGAACTAAGAAGTAATAACCTCTACACATCTTCTCAATGCGAAATCCAATCCCCATCCATGCACCAAATCATTCTATAATCAATTCAAGTAAAAAAAAATCAGTGTTAATAGCATGTGAAATAATAGAAGACACTCGTGATCAGGTGAAATTGCATCTTGAAAGGATTATAGCGAGAAAAAAAGACATCGCCAGTTGACACATCTGATCCCAAGAGTAAGAACTACCTGAATCATATGCCAAACACATCGCCATGCTTCTCGAGAGAACACAGGAGCCATTATTTCCACAAAACTGAACAGGAAATCAGACTGATAAATAAGATAAATCCTATAAAGAATATACTAGGACTCTGAGGCTATTGCTTGAGTTTGATCAAGACACCCCAAGTTCTCATTTGGACAATGATCTTTTTTAGAACATGTATGATTTTCCAAAAATAGAATATTTTGAGACTACTACTCGAGTGTGTGTGTGTGTGTGTGTGAGAGAGAGAGAGAGAGAGAGAGAGAGAGAGAGAGAGAGAGAGAGAGAGTACGCTGCACAAGGAGGCAAACGTTGATTGCTGCACCAGCCTGGTTTCTCATCTGTACTCCTGTTGATCAATCCACACAAAAATTTTACATGTGAATGAACATAAGCTAGTTTATACGGGCATTCCATCCACATTAATTGAAAATAGATTAAAATTTGAAACAGAGGAAGGATTCAACAGAATGTACTTACTTGTGAACTTCTCTATCATCCCTCCTCTTAGTCATCTGCCATGTCAATCCGCTGTTGGGTTCAAGAGCAGGCTGAGAAATCTCGAGGCCGTGTTTTTTAACTAGTCTAATATACCTGGCATACTCAGGCGGCCAAGATTAGTCCGAAACAACATATATAAAGAGAAACACAGATGCTTTAACTTTTGAAAAAGACAAACCAACTAAAATATCCAGGGAATAGCGCGTACTTCTCTGCATTGAAGTGCTCAACTCCAAGGTCTTCATCCCATATAAATATGTAATCATAGGCGGCTACTACATCAGGATGTAAAAATCTCTTTGCATACCACCTGATAAAGGAAAGGGAAAGACCAATATTAGATGGAAAAAATAAAAGACCACATTATTATATCCAACAACTTCCTCAATTTCCGTTCAATTTATCATCTCAGTAGGACAAAATCAATGGATCCAAATATGCTAGTTAAAAGAGGCTACTGCCTAAATAGAACAAAGTTCTCGCATCACATTACTGTTTGATTGTTGCATCAGATAGATAAGACTTTAGAATCCCAAAGCTAATACCTAAAATCAAAGTCTTACCATTTGGTCTGTTTCCTCACGCTGATGTGAATTGCTCGCTTGGACCACTCAAATTGATCCCATTCACTCGTTCGATCATCATAATGGAAAAGCAAAATTTGAAAATCATCTGAAAACTAAATAAAGCATAGAAAATAAGACTAGTACATAGGATGCAATGTTAAGTAAAAGAGCTAAAGTAGTAAAGATATCCTTTTAATGGAATCGCTTCATTTTTATTACCTTTGTAACAGCTGCATCAATGTTGTTCATTTGACTCAAACCAACAGTAAATGTCACCAAGTACTTTGGCTTATTTGTTAGGTCCTGATAATTCGACAAAATTTGTAAGATAACTGCACCTAAGCAAAGCACCAGGATGAAAACCTACATGCTTGTCCTTTCCGTTAATATAGAAGTCCTAATGATGCATGCCATAACTCTTCGAAAGCATTGCAATAGAAAAGGTTATTGTCTTTTAAAATAATGCAAAGCTGGAAGCACATGTCGTTCTTTTAGAGAAGTAAAAACTTGAATGACAGCCTAGGGTTGAGCTAAAGTCCTTGCCTTCAGCCTCACACTGCTAAATATATAATAAGCAAGCAAATGAAACCAAAACTTACCCAGAAACCGGTGTCGCTGATGTTTAATCCAAAAACTCATAACATAGACATGCAACAGCATCTTATAAAGGCAGGATGTTGAAGTGTCCATTTTTTTCCACAAGTGTCAAATGCAGGTATCATACAATATATAATGGACATTCCTTTTCATTTTTTCTTTATTTTTTCAAAATCGGAGTTAACCAATGATTATTTGATATATCTGCATCATACCTTACTTGGTTCACCCCACAACCTTCTCAAGTAAAAATCTGATTCAGACACAACGATCCTTGGTGGCAATGACTCTGCACCACGGGGATTTGTTGGAACATATATCTAGAAAATCAAAAGCATTAATAATTTAGAGATGCTCTGATTCAACTATATAATTATCAAGACAGCTGAAACATATATTTTAACTCCTTTACATATGCAAAATAATCATGTAACCAGCAAGTATATAATCAAGTTTCTCATATGTCTCCAAGCAACTACCAATTTTGTTATTGAACCAGTAACTAGAAAAAGTTAGGATACTTCAGAATATGAGCTCAGCGTATAACTATAAGAACATCTCAATCACCACATGGTGCTTTTGAATTTTATGATGTTACTATGTCCAGTTGCCCATACATGGATGTTCAAGTCTCTAATTCCAGAATAAAGAGACTCTCAACAGAGTACCTGATCTAACGAGATGTAAGAAGAATGTCTTAATACCAACTAGTTGATATCGTTCCTATGGACCCTTAAATTCCATAATGTTCTATTCTAAGCTGAGTTTGCATCATTGTAAGGTTTTTGCGAAAATTTCCTTTTTGAGACTTGTTCCCTTTTATCACATTCAACCATCATATTATAGCAACTAGAACTGGTGCAATGGGGAATCTACACAGAATGTAGTCAAACCATCTCAAATGGAAGTATTTGCACTATCAGTGACAATTTTTAATATTATCCAATCTTGTATGACCGCGCATGCATCTGACTATTTTCATTTCTACCAAATACACCTTGTAAGTGTGTTTGGATTTTACGTCCACATAACTTGATGGTTTCACAATCGTTATATTGAACTTGGCTTTGCTGGTATCTTCTTAGCATAGAACTCCTTCATATCTTTTTTTTCTAACTTTATGTCAAATCTTTATCTATCATTGCCATTCTCTTAAAAGACTAATCTAGGTATTTGAATTGTCTGTATCTATCCAGCATAATCCATCTAATCTCATATCGACTTTATTGTTTGATGAGGCTTACTTACAATGCATTAATTTGTCTACTTCTATTTTTCTAAATTCTTTACTCTCTCGAGTGTTTCTAAATAATTCCGACTCTTATCTGACCCACTGACTATTATCATTAATTAACATAATATCAGTTGCAAATAGCATGCACCATTGAACTTCTTACCACATTCTGTATATTATTGATCCGCTCATATATAACTACTGAAAAATAAGTAAAAGTGCAAGGCAGCTCTAAGGAGTAAACCCACTATTACGGGGGAACTCCTTTGTATTTCCTTCCTTGTGATTGCTTCTTTGTTCATCTCTTCTGTGGAGTTTATATATTTGTTATGCATTGCTTTCTTCTCAAGAATACAGAATATTGCACGCTATAATATGATTTATCTAGTTGAGTGTATACCATGCATACATTCAATTTGATTCTCGGTCACAACTATACTCTATCCGTCTTCCAAAAGTTTCATAATATTGCTCGTCGTATTAATACCATGAAAGCTCCCACCATTTTTAATATCTCCGTTGTTCTTATATGTGGGAACCAAGATATTTGCTTCTCCACTCATTTGACATATTTCTACTCCTTAATATAACATTGAAATGATTGTTTATCATACTACCCCGAAGTCTCTAAAGCACTTTGAAACCTCTACAGGGATATGGAGACTGAATAACTATAAGAAACTCTACTGTTGAGATCCAACAACTGCCATAAAGCAGGCTTTAACCATTTACAATACTCACAACTAGTTCTCTTGTAATTTTTTTCATTTTAAGATAAGGAATTCTCTTGCATTTATGTCTGTGGTCATATAAACTTTTCCAGTAAATAAAGTTACAATAGACAAGAACATCTAAGCTATTAGCACGGTTCTTCACTCGGCAGTCGAGCACAAGCTAAAAGCAGATTTTATCAAATCCTAATCCAAAAATTAGACTACAAAATTGATTGGGCTCTGATAATGATAATGTTTATCACTTTTCATTTGCCCGCTACTCAAGCTAGGCAGATAGGCGAGGAACGCCTTCTCTGGAAACAGTTTCTAGTCTGCAACTTTTATATGATGCCAATTATTTTCAACCTCCAAACTAATCGTGTTCAAAATAAATGAGTTATGTGAAATTGATGGTTCTCTCAGGCACTTTCAAGAAAAAGATTAAGCCGGACTGGATATAATTTAACTGCTATGCTAAGGCCTTAGCAGTAAGCATACAAATAGCCTACGTAGGATAATTTTGTTATTCTATATATTGTTATAGGATAAGTTTTATAATAAATCTTTGCAGTTGGCACCAATCCTAACATCACATCTTTTCTTAAGAATAAATAATCAAGAAAGGTTTAATGCACCTACCCTTGCATTCAATTTTACCAAGATTTGGCTCAAAACTAACCAGCTTTGATACAGACAGTGAACCCAACATTCACTACCGCAAACTTTAATTGCAAAACAGGAGCAGATGGCCTAATTGAAATCAGTCAATTTGCAAAAACCACATAAAACTTTGTAGTGAGTTAGTGACCCAATACAATAAATCTGTGCATCTTGTTGAGCCAGGTTTACTTCAAAGAGTTGTTCTAAAAAAGACTATGTAGATACCATCCAGGACTAGTGTGACAAAAGCACAAAATACAACATTTTTTTCTAGACACCAGAAACTGACATTCAGAAAATGAAGGAAATAATGAAAGTAGATATTTATAGACATAATGATGGACGCACATTTAATTAAGAAGTAGTATTAGCGCAATTGATCCATTTGGCTGTCTGATTTTGTTATATGGAATTTCACAAGTGCTCAAAATTCAACACCATAAGGCATAAAGATGCCGATTCAAAGAGTTTTACATGGATTTTGCTGGCCAAATTAACACCATTTGTTTCTTACTGGAGACTTTGCTAGATAAGTCATAATGAGATTCCATCACATGATTATACACGTGAATCAACATAGGGAAGTTGAAGGTGAGAATAATGTAAAGGATCCAAGTGAAATACATACCTTTGGATTTACCAGATTCTCTGGAAAAAAGCGTTCAATTGAAGGTCTACGATGGTCATCACCAAAGGCTACATCAAGAGATGACATAAGACTTGAAGGTAAAGTAATCTGCAAAAAACACCAAAAATTACGAGGAATGACAAAAATTTCTTAAATAACATCAGAGCAAATATGGAAAGATTGGGCTAATTACCTTTGTTAGAGAAACATATGGAGATGAAATGCCAATAAAATATCCAAAAACCATTCCCATGATTGTTGTTATAACAAGTCTGCCTCTATCGTTCGATCTTCTGAAAGCCCCACTGAATCAGAAGAAAGAAGACAAGGAAGGTAATTCTAAGGTATATGCATCGACATAAGCTTCAGTTCCAAACAAAATATTTGGTGAAATTGATTCCAGCATAAATATTGTTCACAAACCTGCGATATAAGGTTCCCATTGTGATAAAAGTTGCTCAACACAAAGCTCGGCAGTAATAAGCAGAAACCAATTCTTTGAGCAACCTCAACATCCTCCACTTTCTAAGAATGTAATCTTGACATTCCTGAAGGATGAATCCTATTAATCATGGCATCAATATGAGAGTGTTCACATCTTTAACCTCAGAGTTTAATGAATAAAACATAATGGAGGCAAATAGATCCATACAAGCAGAGGCGGACCTAGGATTTGGCGGTCGCGGGAGCACTATGACATTCAATATAATTTATTACTACTCATAACGATTGGTACGGGAGCCTATGCCAATATCTGACTATATTTTTAAGACATTTGCAAGTATATATGATGCTTTTGCCGAAGTTTCTGGGTGCTGGTGACCCCTCAACTTATAGTGTAGGTCCGCCTCTGCATACAAGCGATACCAACTGATTGAGATTTATACTTACATTAGGTCCAGGTGTTTGCTACGAGGTTTTTAAGTCTGTTTTAGAGACTTGTATGCCCGATAGACAATATAGAGAACCTCTAGTCTTAAAGAACTCTAAATTATTGAGTATTGCAATGAAATGGATCCAAAATCATTCAATAACTATTCATACTTGTCAATCCGAAACTAGCTGAGGTCGGCTTAATGAATCATCTGACTCGTTTCACTCTATATTTGAGCTCATTTAATCCCAATATCTGTTTTCTTTAAGAAACTAGAGCTCCCTAAACACTCATCCAATAAGACTGCTAATGAATACCAGACATAAGTTAGGATTTTCCTAATTTCTGGACAAACAGGTAAACGGATATTACTATTTGCGTCCATATTAATTATTTGTCTCTTAAAGTTTTTGCACACCCTTAAGAAGAACATTTATTAGGATTAATTATAAGAGTATTTATTTGTCTAAACTACCTTTTATCCTCACTGATTGACACGCCACTAACTGGGGCAATAATGGTGAATTTAGAAAAAAGTAACATATGCTTTCCAAATTTGGAACAAATTCATTTGCCAAAACGACTTATAATCCCCACATTATAACTTGTTCACTAAGCGAACGAGACCTATTTGGATAAAATATCATTTGTGGAATTGGCCATGGAAACTATAACATAAATTGAACTGTTGAGAATGCATAGAAAACTCGGTAGAGAAACAATCGTCATTTTCAACAGTAGTGAAGAAAGATGAGAGTTTTCATGAGCTTACCGAATTTTTCAGATGAGAAGGGATCCTTCCTTAGAGATCGGTAGAAGACGTTTGGCTTTTTTGAAATGTTAAAACTTTGAAACTGAAAAGTACATAAATTTCTTGCCATCATGGAACTTGTTAAAAAAACACGTATAGCAAGTTTTCGGACTAGTCGTTCAAAAATAGCCACCGTTTACGAAGTCAATGAAAAATAGCCACTATTTTACTGCAATAGAAACCGGTTCCGCATAATATACGGGAGTTTGATGCATCTGTGTACGAACTCCAGCATATTATGCTGGACCGGTATACTTTGCTGACTCCTATATAATATACGGGAGACTGGAGCACCTGTGCTCCAAACTCCAGTATATTATACTAGACATTTATACTTGCTGGAACTCCAGTATATTATACTAGACATTTATACTTGCTGGAACTCCAGTATATTATGCTGGAGTTCAAGATAGTTATCCTGGAACTCCCGTATAATATGCTGGAGTTCAAGCATACTTATGCTGGAACTCCAGTATAATATACGGGCGTATTTTCCGGGTTTTGAACAGTGTTTTCGCTTAGATTTATCTTTACATGAAAAGTGGCTAAATTTCGATTACTTTTGAAACTGGGCTATTTTTGAATGACCAGTTGTAAATCTGGCTATTTTTAAATTTCTCCCTGGAACTTCATGCCACATAAATACTACTCCCTCCGGTCCACAATAAAAGATCAATTTGCTTTTTTATTTTGGTCAAAAATAATTGTTCATTTATATAATCAGGAAAGAATTATTTTTACAAAATTACCCTTATATACATATCCCTAAAAGTTTTCTTACTTCTCACATTAAATATTTAATTAAGGATAGTTTAGTCATACTAGGTATTTTTGTATAGAATTTAGTATTTTCTTAATAGGCGTGTCAAAAGCAAATTGGTCACTTATTGTGGACCGGAGGGAGTAGTAATGAACATAAGTCTAATATTCTGATGGTGTAAGATATATTAATTTACACTGAAAAATTCAAGGTAATTCTTACCAAGAACAAATATACTCCATACGTCTCATAATATGTGTTGTGGTTACTAAAAATAGTTATCTCAAATTATTTGTCATTTTAGAAGTTCAAGACAAAATTGATTATGTTTTTCCTTTTTTACCCTTAATAATCAATTGCATTCACATTTAGTAAAAATATGGATAATGTCATTGATAGAGATGACACATAAATTGAGAAAACATTTAATAAATGTAAAGTAGTCAAAAATTATTCTTTCTTAAGGAGCGTGCACGAAAGAGCCACGACACATTTTATGAGACAAAAGGAGTATTGGTTAGTAACGTTGGTGTAAATTTTTATCGTGACAGATATATTTACTACATTAAAATAGTGGAAAAACTAAGAGAAATTTTCCTGGGAGATACCCGATAGAATGATTTTATGAATAGAAATACCTAAACTAAATTTTGTGATTAGAATAATACTTAAACAATTTGGCCAATAGATTTCACCGGATGTACGAATTTGGCCACTAGATTTCAATTCCCTACTCACACAGCTCACCCAATTTAGTTTAAATACTTCTGTGCAATAAATTAGTACTAAATAACAAATAAAAATATCAAGGATAGCGATGGCAAACAGGCGGGTCGGATAGGATACGAGCGGGTCAAAACAGATAACGTAAGAACAGATAAAATATTTGGCATGCCCATATTTAATATGGATAAAAAAATAGGTTAATCGGCAGATAATATGGATACTCATATGTATTATGCATGGCTTCTTGAACAAGATCACTTTTGAGAATTTCTAGTCTCCCAAATTTGAGGAACCCCGAATATAAGTCTTTGTAAATGTAAAAGTTAAATCTGTTAGTTGTCCATTAAGTATCCATTTTTAAAGCAGATAATATGTATCTTATCCATATTTCACCAATTTATAAAAGTTTATTATCCAACTCATCTTTCAGTGGATAATATGGATGGATATTTTTATCCATTTTGCCACCACTAATCACGGCCTTATGCGTCCATAATCACTTACAAATTGATGAATAGGTGTCCAAATCACTTACAAATATAGAGATTTCTACAGTTGTAGCTCGGTTATACGGACTAGAACTTATAAGTATCGAAAGGATTATGTCACGCCCCAACCTTGGGAGGCGCGATCGGCGCTCAATCGAGTGAACCCAACCGAGCAAGCCTTTTGGACACTTTCTACCCAACTCACTATGATCAAGAAAATATGCTTTCATTTATCTAGACAGTAGGAAAGATCGTACGTATAACATTGCTAGTTCATTTTATATTACAACCCTTAAACCATAGTTATGTTTCCAAAATTCACACAGTTACAGTTTAGAAGAACAAGAGTTTAGAATTACAACATAGTCCAGTCACCTATCCAACGCCCGTACATAACCCACACAAACGTCTACAGAGCCTCTAAAGATACAAAATACAGTGATGATAATGCCAGCAACAAGGCCCCGACTATACCTCAAAAAGTGGTAATTTATAACAAAAGATATATTGCATAACCCCTGGAAAAAGAGGGGCTCACCAAGATTGCTGAGAGGAGGATGCTCCGCTACCTGCGGTCGGCACTGCCTGCTATGGAACCACCTACATCCATTCAAAGATGCAGCGCCCCCAGCAAAAGGGACGTTAGTACCATGGAATAGTACTAGTATGTATAACTAAACACCATCTCATTAGAAAGAACATCCATACAAGAATAAAGAAATCATAAGGATCAACAAAAGCTTTAAACAATCACCACATCATCAAATAAAAGGGATCACATAGCTTTCACATAATTTCCATAGCTTTAGGTTGGGATATTTAAAACTGTTGCATCATCATCCACAATACCACCAATTTCTTGCGCGGAGTCCGATCACGACCCGATCGGCTAAGCTGCCTCATTTGAGACTTATACCTCAATCACAATTTCATTCTCACTTTCCGATTTCAATATCATCATAATACCACCATGTGTGCAGCATGGCGCCCGATCGGCTAAGCCGTCTTACCAAGACGTTTCCCTTTTCCATCAATCATTTCACTTCAAATTTTTTTTCCACATATATCAGTTCATCGGAACTTGGGGCCACAGTTATCACATCATACTTAGCACTAGGCCACATTTCATAACTCACATTTCACATCATTTTCACTTTCAACATTAACCTTACAATTTAATATAATGGGTACATACGAGAGCAATTCAGGTTGTAAGCATAGATATGATTTCACATAGTTTGGCATTATAACCACAGTTTAAACTTGACTTGAAATTTAGGCATTTTAGCACATAGTTCACATTCTTCCCACATCCTCAATTTACCAAGAATAGCATATTGAACACATTGAGACACACCTTTCACATATATTCTTGCAACACCAATTCATTTGAAATAACAAGTACTACATCAATTAAATTTCGGGCTTACAACATTTGCATGGACACCGATGGAGCTCAATTTCTAAGAAAAGGGGGTTTTAACCATACATACCTCAATAGAGCTTTCCTTAAATTCTTACAATAATTCTGGAACTCTTACCAACTTCGATCTATTTTATGAGAATTACAAGTTGAACGAAGAATTAGAGAGATAATCAAGATTCTAGCTCATTTGAGCACATTATCAAGCACTAAGTGTGTATTATGATTTTAAGACCTTTTTGTGAGAGATTCTATCATCCTACACCCCATTTGTTACATTTTTAGTTCACATCTCCCCATACCCTTTTATCGTACATGCATGCAAGATAATCAACCCTTATACCCATGAACCCACTTGTTAATTACTTATTTTAATAGGAATTTCGAAATCAAAGGTTAGGGCACAAGTTCTTACCTCTTAGGATGAAAGCTTAGTAACTTTACTTGATAATCTCCAAATATTTGGGCAATGATTGAATAGTGACTTGGTGAGAATCGCTTTCTCCCTCTAGAATTTTTTCTCTCACTCTAATAGCCTGTTTGGCCAAGCTTCTCAAGAGGCCAAAAGTGCTTTTTTTTTCTTTCCAAAAGCACTTTTTTTTTCTAACTTGAGGTGTTTGGCCAAGCTTATTTGGGGGAAAAAGTGCTTTTGGGATGAAGCAGAAGCAGTTTCGGAGAAGCAGAAAAAGTAGCTTCTTTCCAAAAGCATAAGCAGTTTTGGCTTTTCTTCTTACCTAAAATACCCTTAACAAAATATAGTATATACCAAAATAACCCTTAAACCTAATACTTAGGATATTAATTTATAAATATTTCTTCTTATTTTTAGGAAAATTTTCTAATATATAGTGACTTCAGGGGTGAATGCTTTTATATTTGTTGAAGGAATTTTAATATATTTAACTTATATTAAAAGAATTAAGTACTTTTTAATTTTATTTTCATATTTTACTTAAATAAAATGTTTTTTTTAATTATTGCATGTAATAACAAAATTTTGAGATGATTTATTTACTTATAATATTAATTATTAAGTAAATCTATTCATGTCCTTATTCGTAATTTGACACTTAAAAGCACTTTCTAAAAAGTTTGGCCAAACACAAATTATTTCTCAAAAGTTCTTTTCAGACTGATTAGCCAAACACAAATTGTTTCTCTCCAAAAGTACTTTTGAAAAAAAACACTTTTGAAAAAAGCACTTCTCAAAATAAGCTGATTTCTCCAGCTTGGCCAAACAGGCTATAAATGTAGTAGAAAATGGCGCAAGAGGGTCTAATAGGGTATTTTTAACAGGATGGGGTCGGGTTTTAAAATTTAGAAAATAGGAACCCAGACTCATCCGCATACCAGTTCTGCGGTCGCATAATGCACCGCAGAACTGCCCTTCGCAAAAATCCCAAGGAGGTTGTGCGACGACTATGCGGCCCGCATATCGATTATGCGATCGCATAATTGGCCGTATAGTTGTCCTCAAAATTAGCCAACATTCTGTCTCACTCTGCGGCAGCTATGCGACCCGATTGCTATTATGCGGCCGCATAATGGGCCGCAGAAACGCGCTCTTCTGAGAATTATTTTTTCTTAACTTTTAATGCACAGATCAATCCAAAAAGTCCGAACACATATTCTTAACTTGGCACTACGAGATTTCGGATTTTTAAGTAAAAAAAATTTACGGGGCCTTACAGATTAGCATGTTTTTGTTGTTATTGCATCTTTGCTAGGGTATTACGAACTTATTTTTAAGTTGAATTCATGGGTGGTTTACATGAGAAGAGGCTTAATTATGTATTGTTGGTTGTGTTGCTCGAATTGAAAGAAAAAAACAAGTCGAAAACATGTTTTAGTAATCTGAAAAATCAGTTTTGAGTTGATGAACTTCTGAGACTCTTATGGAGTCATTTTAAAATAGTATTATAGCTAAAAATCAGTAGGGATAATTGAATACGTTGTGGTTAGTATTGTTAATAAATGCTATAAGAAAGAAGGGGTCTTAAACTTTAGTTGTTTAATCATAAATCGAGCTTGTCGCTCGTTGTACTATTGTTTGAAATGTGGAATTGTACTTACATTGTTGAGGGGCTGAATGGATAGGCTGGTTGTTGATATTGTTTTTTGGTGCGGTTTTGAATCGGGGAAGTAAGAAAATAAGGAAAGTGCTGCCCAATTTTCCGTAAGAGAGCTACTAGCTTAGAATTTTTTTTTTTTGAGTTCTTCAATGATATTAACCATAGTTCTAATACCTTGATGTTGATTGAGGTACTACCGATAGTATATATTGAGTTGTAATCAACAAAGGTATCTTAAGGTTAATCCTTCGTTCTTTTGGCATGATCCAAGTGACAAAAAGTAACCGTAATGTTATTCCATAAATGGTTCTACTTTTAGTAGTTAAGGATGTCTATGTTATTCATTTTTATAAAATGTAATTCAAAGCATATCTAAATATATTCCTAAGTCCCTATTGAGGCATACGATAAAAATATTAATATTCATAACATAATTGGAGGATGAACGACTATTAAGTCATTCCGAAAGATGTCCTAATGATCCTAAAAGGTTCTTCATGCATTGTAGGTATATATGTAAACGAGTAATGACATTATATACGCATGTACCATATCTATAAGGGCATGGCTATGGTATTCCTACTTTACCAGGCCGGTTCGGCTTTCGTTTATATTTCCTTCTGGGTTGTTCGGTGTAAATACTCATAGTGGCCTCCTCAGCTCGTACATATAGATATGTCTTGAGTATAACGAGTTGTGGCCATGTTGGCCCATGATAATTTACAGAAAGAATGGGTTTAGCCAAGTTAGTCTATGTATGTTCTAGTTTATGTCGAACTATCACGAGTTACAGAATGGTTTGTTCGGGCCAGTACGGCACCGGGTGCCAACCTGTCACATGTTTGACCTGAAATTTTCGTCTAAAATATATATTATGGAGTCGTTATTACTTTATCTGCTATATGTATTTTACTTCTTTTTTTTCCACATGATTTCTGCCGAAAGAAAACAAGCTAGTTCTCTCTTTTTTTCTTGGTGGCTTACAATTCATTACAAGTCATTTTCAAGTGATTATTTCGTGATCGTGACAGACTTATCTTTTTCTATGTTCTACAGATGATAAACTATAGTATCTGAAGCCTACATGAGATTATTTTTTTAATCAGTGTCCTGGCTTATGGTAATTCAGGTCAGACTCCTTTGAGTTCTTTCATCATTTTATTTCGTATGAAACTTAATATCCATGTGTTTGACATGATGGAAGAAAATATTTTCTGGTGAGCGATTGGAGAATGCAAAATAATTTTTTGAAAAATGTTTTGATGAAATTTTTAAGTATTAATGATTAAAAATAATGTCTAATATTGGTTAAAACACATATGAAGTACAGAATTGAGATAATTGTGACGAAAAGTGAATTCCGTACAAAAAGTGAAGGAAGTCATTTTTCCTCTTTTGGTAGAAAATGTTGTTCCTAAAAATATTTTCTGAAAAATATTTTCCATCGTTCACCAAAAACATGTATTTTTCATTTTCTAGCTATTATGTTCATTTCGTACCAGCAAATTGATCAAACTATATATGACATGGTCTTAAGTTATTTTACTAAATATCCGTTTTGACATAACTTCAGATTTCAACATGATCTTGAAGCAACAAAGTACGCAACAACTAATGGAGATAATGTGATTAAGGTGAAGTACATGATTCAGATTTTTTTTCAATTTAGAACTGCTTATGTTGCTCAATCTTCTCGAGTATTTGGGAGAGGACAGCTTGTTATAGATGCTTCAAAGGTAGCACTAAGATACTTGAGAAACGGTTCCTTGATTGATATCACTAGAAACATGTGTACTTGCTATTACCCTTAGTAGAATGAAATCGAACTTGTTTGAAAGTAATCTATTGCTTTGTCACGTTTCCAGGCATTAATTCGGGCTGTTATCCCTAATTGAAGGGACGATTCAGTGTCATTTTTTACTACCTCCCTAGACTTTATCTCATATTTCCATTGTCATCCCAAATCATCAAATGGTGTTGTGACAGAAAAGCATGGGCTGGAGCTGCTTACAACCTGATGCTCTACATGTTAGCAAGCCATGTAAGTGAATTCAGAGCTTTCTGTTCGGTAGATGATTCATCTCATGCTAAAATAATGCTGTACTGCACTAGATATTTTCTAGTACATATGAAGTTCATTTCGCTATTGCAGTACACAAATGAGTTTATATCTTTCTCACAGTCCAAGACCATGGTACATATTGTCTGTTTTGGCCAACAAACCTCACAAATTTTTGGCTATGCCACATCAAGCCGAAAGCATGCACACCATGTGAAATTGTGCTTTGTCTTATATAGCATTTCACTTTCTCTTCCCTTTCCAACATGGGATTTGCCTATGGTATTATAAACAACCCCATTTTCAAAAACTTCCCAGCCTATAAGTCTACCAGTCATTCACCTTAATCCGCCCTCACCAGCTGTCCTCGCATCATAGGCGTCACAATCATTCATGTCTTATGAAAATTGGTTTGTTTATGAAACTGAAATCCTCCCTCCATAAAAAAATTAAACATATAAGCAGCCATTTTGCTTTTCGCAAATGAAGGTACTGGGAGCTTGCTGGTATCTTCTATCAATTGAGAGGCAAGAAGCGTGCTGGAGATATGTGTGCAGTCTTGAGAAGCCGTCTGTGATTATGGATATTTTGACCGCCAGAGAGTAAAGGATCCACAAAGAAATGCCTGTTCAATTCCATCAATATTACAAGGCAATGTGACTGTAACAACAATAACCATCCGTTTGGTATTTATGGCGATACTGTGGCAGTTAGTGTGGCATCTGCTTTGTTTTTCAACAAGTATTTCTACTGCTATACTAGACCTTGACTGAATATTTAAACAAATGCTTCATTTTAATATTCGTGCCAATATATCTAAAAATGCTTCATTATCATCAAGCATTCTAACCGAGAACCTAATTAGCAAACCAAAACCTTTGATTGACAAATTTCACAGGGAAAAATCAGGCAGTGTGGAAAACTTTAATCTGGAATTGCAAATTTACCGGCCTGGTAGGAGCAAACTAATATCTAATTCTGTAATTTTGACCTACACACGTACCATGGTCTATTCTTTTGAATCAGTAACAGCATCTTTCAAACATGATCGCATAACCTCACACAGTTTGGAACAAGCACCAAGGCATAGCTCCATTGCCTGCATTTAAAAGATCAAAATAATAGTCATGCCTAGCTCCAAAAATGTGTCAGGATCATATCGGTGAACCTTTTGAAAATAATTTAAGTAGCTCGCTGGGAAATTTACAGTTAAGAAGGAGAACAGATAGCTAAGAGACAAATGTGAAGTGCAATCTCTGGTCTGTATATGAAAATATTAAACAAAACGAGAGATGAAGCAGGACGTAATTTAGTAATCTAGATGAAACTGCCCAGCAAATAGCATACCTCATTAGTCTTTGGTGTTGACCATTCTCCAGTTATAGACAGTTGAGTGACCTCATTACGTGAAGGCATACAAGTAATCATTAAGCTTCCATCTTGGTAGCTTTCTTCCTCAGAAATGGGATCAATGACGAGGTTCTTTCCAAGACAAGACTAGAATACCAGAAAAAGAAGTGAATTAGATGTCTGAAAATTCAGTGGAGACCCTGAATATTTGAGAATCTGGAAAAGCCTATGGTATCATATGATTACATGTCCCATCATTTGAAAGTTGCCATGCTATTTGTAATAAAGATGGCATGATATTATGCCTTAAGAGTACACATCCATAAAGGCTTCTAAACCTTCATTCCATTAGTGAACCATAACCGAGTCTAATTCAGGCTTCAATAACCAATTCTTCAAGTACTTTAAAACTAGCTTGACCTGCCGATAACAATGTTTCTTCTAGTCTCGATGATGATTAGCTGACAAACACTTATTACCAAATTCCTATACAAATATACTTACTTATACTTATAGGTAAACTTCGACTAAGAACAACATGAAATCATTGCCATTATTGCCGACTTATGGTCACAAGGCAAAGACAGGAGTTAAGAGTGCATTTCCAATGGGATACAGGAAAAGCTAACAGCTGGATCTAAGTTGACTCATATTCTGGAAGTGCAACTGCTACGGCATTTCTTAGAAGGTGCATTCACTCTCCCAGTTGCTGGTACTACACTACTTTAAAAAGCCGTGTTCATCTTTATCCAAATCTTGACTCACAAGTTCTTCCATCTCATTCATTCTCTTCACACTTTAAAATAGGAAACTCTTGTATAGATAATGAAATTTTGCAGACACTTCAGAGGATGCATTTTTGAGCTGTCAGCCCAAAGATGATTATATAACTGAAGTTCTTCAATCGCCATAGTGTGGCAGTTGCCTAGACATTGTTTTAGTGCGCATTTACTCCATTCAACTAACTACTAAAAAAAGCAGGAATCGATTCAAAAACAAGTGTGTTTGGATCATGCTCTCCTGGCAATTCGGTTTACCACCCCTAACTGCAATGGATTACATTTGAGGGAAAACACACTTGGACAGATGAAAAATGCATATGGAGCTTATAACACAACTACATGCTCAATTTCAACTGATGAAGGTGTTATGGAAGCACAACACTAGTCATCAGCCTCAACCTGTCACCATATCAGTAGAAGGTTCCAGGACCAGAAGAGCTCAAAACAGAGTAATTGGGCAGGTAACTGATTATTTCTCATGCTTTCTTTGAATGCACTGCCAATCTCCTCTATATGCTCAGGTCCAGTTAAAAGCAAACACATCAGAAAGAGTTATCAAATCCAGGCTTTACCATGAAAAAACCAGATGTGAGAAATTTTGTATAATCTCGGCAACATTCATCAATACTTCAGGTGGAGAATTATACTCGCGTAATTTTCTACTCCTATTGTCGTGTTGTTCATAAGGAATAACCACAGTCCACACAGCATACATAATCATAACCAGTGTTTTCAAGTTGATCCCAATCAGTACCTCCTCCTCCTCTCCCCCNACCGCCTTTAAATATTTTACTAACATGACTATCTTAAGACGAGTGAGCCCCAAATGTACGTTGATAGATCTTTTTTATACAGATACTGGGAACTGTGAAGTACGACCCATTAAAAATTTGACTTACAAATTAGGGGATAAAGTATTCCATTAGGAATTGGACAAGAAGGAGGTCTTGACATCAGGAACACAAGGATACATAATAAGAGTCTATTAATGAAATGGTTATGGAGATACAATGTTGAAGAATAAGCTTTATGGAGCCAAGTAATCAATAACAAATATGGTCAAGAGGGTCACTGGTGTAGTACAGTGAAATCTTCTTATGGGGTAAGCACTTGGAGAACTGTCAGATCACAGTGGCCCAGTTTTGTTACAAAAATTGGATTCAACATTGGCAACGGCAGAAGAGTGTCTTTTTGGAATGATAATTGGCTTGGCCAAACCGAATCAAATGGAAAAAAACCAAATCGATTAAAAAACCGAACATAATTGGTTTCGTTTGGTTCGTTATTGAGCAAGGAAAACCAAAACCAAACCGACGTATAAATATATCTATTTCATATATATTATAAGAACTTTATATAGGGTTTTCTTTAAGAAATATTTGTGATCTACTCATGAGATCAACAACTACAAACACCAACATACCCAATGCAATCCTACATAGTGGGGTATGGGGAGGGTAGTGTATACGCAGACCTTACCCCTACTCTTGTGGGGGTAGAGAAGATGCTTCCAAAGACTCTCGGCTCAAGGAAGGCAAAAACGCATGCAGCAAGACTCGAACTCTAGTTCAATGAGACATTCTGTACACCCTTCACCGCTAAGCTATCTCGCCCAGTTAATAGAACTATTATAGAGCAGCAATTTTATTTACTTTAAATAATGCTTGATTCCAATGTGTATGATCCTTCTTTTATCAAGTGGGTTGAAATGCTTCAATCTCTTTATTTTTCAATATTCACTAGTCAAGATCTATTAAACTCTTATGTCTTTCTCGATTTTGAGATAGTGTTTTATTGTAATTTTTAAAATTAAATGAGAGCATATCATTATTTAGGGTTCATACTGATCTTTGAGTTTAATTATTAAAATTTTAAGCTCTTAAGAATATATAAATAAAAGACAATTGTTAGATTAAAAAAATAACTATGATGTGATACGAAAACGTTTCTCCAATGAAGATGTTTTAATAGATCATATGTTTATAAATTTGTTCAATTCTTACTAAACATAATTGACTTGTCAGAATTCTATAGCAAAGAGAGATTGAGTTTATATTTTATATGACAAAAACTGGAGAAAAAAAACGAAATAGCAAAAACTGAACCAACCAAATGGATATGATTGGTTTGACCTTGGTTTTGGTTAAAACTGAACCAAACCGATCCATAAACACCCCTACGTGTAAGATGATGAACATACTTTTGCATTTTTGGATTCTGTAAAAATATGGCTACCCTAACAGTCTTTGAGCTGATATATAATACAATGTTACCTTCCTCAAAAAAAAAAAATGTTGGACATGAATTAGGAATGGCGCCAAAAGAAACCTACCATTCAATTTGGAATATAGCGAACACTAGACACGATATGGCATACACCAAAACTTTTACACTTTCAACTATTCCTCAACAACAAGTTTCCTAAGGCTGCACAAATACATATTTCAAAGGATATCAAAATCTTTTTGGGAGCATACCAAGTAAGGATGAGCTTGTAGCTTAAGGCGAGGAAATGTATTTTTTTATCATATCAGAAGTGGAGTTTCTACTGCAATTAAATGAAAACAACAGCAACCGTCTGGGCTTCTATTCCTCCTAAGTAAACTCAGATAATAAAGAATTAACGAGCAATAGTCTGATGCATACCACAGAAACTGAGGCAACCAAGTCATGCAGCAAAATTCCCGCATCTGCTAAAGCTAGACTAGCACATGATATGACCACAGGGAGATCACCTGCAAGCAAAACAAAGAGTTTGTAATGGCAAAGCATTTATTGAGTTAGTTCAAAAGTCATCAGTACTCAGAAGTAATCTCACAACCCCAATCTAATACCAATAGCCTATTTATGGAAAATGCACAAAATTGGAAGCCAAATACAAGTATACTTACCAGAAGGCAAAATATACAGTATAGCAAACTGAGATAACAATCTAATCCAACTAACTTAATTCTTTTATCTACCCTAAATATTGACACATATCATAAGACCGGTAAAATTCAGGATCTTGCTCTAACCTCTTGGCCTAAGAAAAGGTACTAATCCTGAAAAAGGTACCCATTCTTCAGTAAGAAAGAAGTACTGATTCTGAAACAAACTAGTTGATTAGGATAGAAGTTATACCCCTTTGCAACCCTACAAGTACTTCTTTGATGCATGACAAAAACAGAAGTTAACAATTTTCCGTGCTCCTTCCTCTAATCTTTTATCATACAAGGTCCTTTTTTTCATTTCTTGAGATATCCAAGAATAATCTTCTCCCAGTTTCAAGTCAATACCTGTACTATAGAGGATTGCGAATAAACCACAAATGTAAAGATAAAGCTAGGATTCAAAACTTACTTCCACCAGATTCCAATACCAAAGCAAAAACATCCACAGTAGTCTTTGGGAAGGATTCCAGAATTATAGCACCCTCTAAAGCTTTATGTAGCATTGAGGAAAGCTCCTTGTTGTCTGATCCCTAACATAAGTGAAACTTCAGTTAGAGACATGGAAGTTAATCACAGAGCATCAATGACAAGGAGATGGAATGATAAAAGGGGAACTCTGTTCCATCCTTGATATACCTGTCCATGATCAGGGGTGGCAAAAGTTGTGTAACTAATGTTACAATTTAAGCGTCCTGTATCACTATACATCATTGCCTTCTTACTTTCCCTTGGCCCAAACCTAAAAGAAGACAATTAGATGGTTAGACATTTTCCACCTAACAAAATTGGTAAAACATATACAGCAATGCAAATAACACCCTTCCTGGATGAATTGCCATACAATAGGACAACATTAACAGCAAATTGTTGACTAATGTTGATAGCAAACTGTCACATTTATGTTTAGTTCTTTTTCTCTCCCTCCATACTGGAAGATAAAAGTCTACACTGTGAGCTTCCGCTGACTATACATACACGAAAAGCAGGATTTTTTTTTTTTTTTTTT